GGACATCGATACCTCAAAGGAAATGGGACCGGCAACATCTCCCCAGGGTCCTTAGAGGGGGGAAAATATGTTTGTTACCACTTACCACAACTTCAACACACCCCGGGAAAAAGGCAATACCTGAGGTGGAAGACGCAATGAAATTCCCCTTTTTTCAAAAAGGAGACGAAAAGAGCACAAAACTTAACCTGTGCATTGACGGTAAAGTATGCAAATTATGGAGAAGGTTTATCAGGGGAGAGGGGGACACCTGGAACGGAACAGGAGTATAAATCCCAAACCACCCGGGATTCACAAGGCAAATCCTGTGCCCAAAAACCTTCTGGAGTTTTATGATAAAAAAACAGAAGAAAGCAAAAGAGAGGGGTGGGTTGTTTTGCATCTTCTTGGACTGCAAAAAGGCCTTTGACACATTTCCTCACAAGAGTTTAGTGCAGAAGCAAGCATCACGCTATAACAGGAAGGGCACGCAATGGATCAGGGAAACCTGACGGGGGGCAACAACGGCATGGACGAATGATTTTATCACAGTGGGCCCTTCGAGGGGGTCCCACAGGGGGGGGTCTTAGGGCCGTCTATTTTTGGTATAGTGAAAGAATACGGGAAGGGTTTTTGACTCAGAATGCCCCGTTTGCGATGAGGAAGTTAAAGAGAGAATTAAATCTGATGAGGACCAGGAGGACTTTAAAGGACCTGGCAGACTGGACACCTGGGCCAGCAAATGGGTTTTCGAATTTAATCCTCCAAAGCAAGTCTGAAGATAGGGGAAGGGGACAGAAGACCGCAGACAGAGTAAGGCTAGGTGGAAAAGACTGCAAACCCCCAAGGAGAAGTCTTGGGGTGAGTTAACACCCAGCATGTCTCCGAACACACATCAAATCAGAAAAACTGCTGCAGCTATGGGCGCCTGGCAAACCTGAGAACACATTTTCCCAAAACCCTTTGCAAGGAATCATTCAAGACACTGTACACCGTGTATGTCAGGGGCCCTACTGGATAAAGCGACCTTTTTGGAAACCCCCTTGATAAAGCAGTCAAGAAATAGAGAAAGTACAAAGGGTTTTCAACAAGGTTAGTTCCAAGTAAGGGAAAGTCCTATGAAGAAAGATTAAAGGGGAAAACGGGCCCGACCACACTGGGGGACAGGAGGGTCAGGGGGGACTATAACGACATATAAATACTGCGTAAAAAGACAAGGTGGAAAGGACGGATGTTCCCGGGAGGGGACCAGAAACAAGAGGCCACAAATTGGAAGTTGAAGACACAAATGATCAGAGAGATATAGGAATATTTCTTTTAGTCATAGAGTTGTAAAGGGAGTGAATAGCCCGAAAAATGAGATGGAGGGAGGAACCATACCGTTTTAAGACGAGGGTTTTATAAAGTCAACGGGGAGAGAGAGGGCCTAGTGCAACCGGGGAAGGGCGGGGCCAGGAGCTAGGACTCGACCCCTGCAAACCACAAATAGGTGGTACAAAAAGGGGGGATACACACACCCTACCACACACACACACCCCTAACCACCAACACACACCCCCCCCATACACACACCACACACCCATACAAAACACCACACACCCCTACACACACACACCCCATACACACACACACACCATACACACACACACCACCCATCCCAAAACCCCCCTACACACAGTCTGGAACCCCACACCTGGCAAGCACGTCAAGAAGTTGAGAAAGTACAAGGTTTGCAACAAGGCACCGACTCAAGGGAAAAGCTACGGGAAAGGTTAAGGAAACGGGGAACTGGGGGACAGAAAGGGTCAAGGGGGGGGCATGATAACACAACAAGATACGCGGGGAATAACAAGGTGGACAAGATAGGATGTTCCAGAGAGGGGGGCACAGGGACAAGGGGTCACAACTGGAAGCTGAAGACCAGAAAAGATAAGGGACGTTAGGAAGTATTTCCAGTCAAGAGTCGTCGCAATGGAATAGCCTACAAGTGAAGATGGGGGCCCAGGAACCTTTAAAATAGTTTTAAGAAGAGGTATGACAAAGCTCAGGAAGCAGAGAGAGAGAGGATCCAGTAGCGATCAGTGAAGAGGCGGGGCCGGAGCTGAGTCTCGACCCCTGCCAACCACAATTAGGTGAGTACACACACACATACACATATACATACACATTAACAAACACTTTACACACACACACACACACACAACACACACACACACACACACACACACACACACACACAAAACCCACACACCACACACACACACAACACACACACACAACACACACACACACACACACACACACACACACACACACACACCACACACACAGACACACACACACACACAGACCCCACACACACACAGACACACACACACACCACACACACACACACAACACACACACACACACACACACACACACACCTACATAAAAAGGCCTAGTGTCTAATCGACATGTGCCTAGGACAAAATGGTAACACACACACACACACACACACAAACCTAACCTAACAGATTAGCTCATGAATCCCCCCACCACACACATTTTTACGATAAGCTGAAGCAGCTAGAGCATCCCAACAGGATAAAAACAAAATGGGCTCTCAAAAGGGAGAACGTAAAGGCAAGGGAACTGATGATGGCTGGTCGGAAAAAGAAGAATTGGTAGAACGGCTCAAGAACAAAATGGAACAACAATGGGAGAAAAGGTTAAACGAGCTTTGCAATAACATGTTAGAGCAAATATCTGCAGAGAGCAAGAAGTGGGAATCACGAGCTGTAGTAGCTGAGGCAAAGATACAGAGATTGGAGGAAGAAATGGATGTGCTGAAGCAGGATCTAAAGATTAGGTCCGAAAGGAGCAAGATGACTGAAATGGGAACATCAGCAGGCAGTGAGTGGACTGAAGGAGGGGATGGATCTAAACAGTCTTTTGCAGCAGTAATATCGGGCCATCATGGTGTCTGGGAGATGATTAGGCAAACAGCAAAGGAGATGCTTAAATCAGATCTAGACATACAGAGGGAAAAGAAACGGGAAGAGGAGAGAGAGAGGTCAATAATTATTCATGGGCTTCAGGAGGCTGAAGGGCAGACCTATGATGAAAGAAAGCTTTGGGAGAAAACAGGGATTAAGAACATCATTGCAATAACAGGAGAGAGGGACATGTCTCAGGTAGAAAATTTTCACAGACTTGGGGGGGTATTCGAGGGAAAGGAATCGACCAATCAGATTGACATTCAAGATAGATGTGGTACGGAACAGGATACTACAACAGAAACCACTGTTAAAGGACTCTCCAGATTATCAAAAAGTGTTCCTCAATCGAGATAGAACACAAAAGGAAAGGGAACAACTGAAAGTGAGAGCAAGACAGAACCAGTGGATGGAAAGAGAGACAGGACAGGCAGCGACAGACAGAAAAGCTCAGCCTTTGGGGGAACATCAAACACAAATGCTTACAGAAACCTCTCAACCCCTGTCACCACATATCAACCAAACACAGTAAACAGAAATGAACCTCACTCCATAGCCACCACCCCCCTAAGCACTAATTCCACAATCACAGCAGCCTCCCATAATATTGTGCCCTGCCTCCCACCCTCCCAGCCTGCACCTTCCTCTTCCATCTCCCAAAATACAGTAATGGAAAGGAAGCTAAAGGTATGGTACACCAATGCAGATGGAATAACAAATAAGAGTGAAGAGTGGCAAGAACGCATCATTGATGCATCACCTGACATCATAGCACTAACAGAGACAAAACTTACAGGGATGATAACAGATGCAATTTTTCCACCTGGATATCAGATTATGAGGAAAGAGGCAGCTAAAATGCACTATGGGAGATTGGCGTTTAGACATCTGAGTAAGGAGTCATTCACGACATTGTACACAGTGTACGTAAGGCCTATACTGGAATATGCAGCGCCAATATGGAACCCTCACTTAGTCAAACACGTCACGAAATTGGAGAAAGTGCAAAAATTTGCAACACGATTAGTCCCGGAACTGAGGGGTATATCTTATGAGGAGGATAGGAGAGGATAGGAGGGATAGAGGGGACATGATAACAATGTATAAAATACTAAGAGGCATTGACAAGGTGGACAAGGATCAAATGTTTCAGAGATGGGATACAGAAACAAGGGGACACAATTGGAAACTGAAAACCCAGATGAGTCATAGGGATGTTAGAAAGTATTTCTTTAGTCTTAGAGTTGTCAGGAACTGGAATAATCTGGAGAGTGAAGTAGTGGAAGCAAGTTCCATAAATAGCTTTAAGAAGAGGTATGACAAATATCATGGAGCAGGGAGAGAGTGAATTAGTATCGACCAGTGAAGAGGCGGGGCCAGGAGCTCGGACTCGACCCCTGCAACCACATATAGGCGAGTACACACGCGCACGCGCGCGCACACACACACGTGTCTAATCGACATGTGCCTAGGACAAAATGGTAACTACCCCCCCACACACACACACACACACGCATGCATGCACATACAACAGGCCTAGTGTCTAATCGACATGTGCCTAGGACCAAATGGTAACTAACACACACACCCCCTACATACCTACCTCTACACCTACCCACCTACACCTACACCTTGGTATGCTACCTTAAGTCATTCCAGAAGGCTGTTTGAGTGCTGTGCCATTTGATTATTGAACAAGTTCTTTCCAACCAATTTTCTGTTTGGTTGGCTGTTATCACTAATTTTCATAGGCCCCATGGTGACTTGTACAAATAATACAAAAAAAAACACTAAAAAATGTGAAGAAATACTAAACAGTTCACAGCGAAGTTCTGGCAGGTCGTATTTGTTTGGTCGAGTGCTGAGCTTTGTTCAAGTAGGGAGCTGGTCTTATACCGAGGTTCCACTGTACATATGTTGAATCAGTAATGCTTGTTATATTGCATCAGTCTAGTTTTTTGTTGGTACATATGGAGTTTACATGTTGAATTCACATTAACTGATTCTTATTGTAAGAATTTTTTTTTTTTTTTTTTTTTACAGTCAAGAATTTGAATGCACTAAAATGACGGAAACCTTAGCATCGTATGGCGACAACACCAGATTGAGTGTGAGGTTGGGAAGAGCACTACTACCAGGGGAGCAAAGAGGAAAGGTTTACATGTTAGAGCCTGACAATATTGATGATGTAAGTATGGTTAGGTTTTGGCCAGGAAATGCATTTTCTCCCTTGTTTATTTCCACATTAAGTAATTTATTTCATGTTAAGTAATTTTTATAAAAATTAAAAACACGAATGCACTCAGTCCCACACATTATAATATGGTTAATTCACAGTACAGTCATTCCTGCAGATTTGTGGGTGATTACATTTTCAGAGGCTCTGTGAAAGTAAAGACTGCACATAGTTGAAAATTAAATTTTCATAAATTATCATTAAACTTCTTTGACCATAGCCCTAGTAAGAAATTGAAAGGGAGTATGGAGAGGGATTGAGTAAGTATGTGAAGTGAGGAGGATAAAAAGGTAAGTGGCCCATCTACTTCTGATTTGAACTTGGTAATGGATGTGTGTTTTACATTGTGTTAATATGAAATGTATACAGTGAAAGTTCATGTAACAAGGTGTTATGCTCCTGAAATGGATGCTTTATGTAATTTAATGCTATGTAAAGTGAATTATGTATGGGAGTATTAGGGCTAGGTTCTTCATGCCTGAATAAAAAACAACAATTTTTTAATATTTATTTTGTCAAATTAAAGAAGTTTTGACCCCATACATTATCAGTGCCATTGCTTGTGTACCCAAAACCTAAATAAAAACTTAATAAATAAACTTAATCAAGTCAGGCACAGGGAGGAGCTGGTGCTTGAAGTAGTATACAGTCTATTCTTTCCAGCAAAAATAGTGATGACTTTCTTTCCAGAGAAAACAGGCAAGACTAATACAGCAGAGAAACTTTTGTTTTTCCTTTTGGGTCACCCCACCTCAGTGGGATACGGCTGGTACATTGAAAGAAAGAATTTTCTTACTGTAGAGGTTTTTGAAGATGCTTGCATAGCTCAGTTGAACAGCGAATAGCTGTGGGTCTGTTTTATTAACTGATCTCATACATTTCACTATACAATTTTGTCATCCATAATAATGACAAGAATTATTTTACTGTACCCTAAATTTCTTTATCTTGCTTGTTGACATAGAAGTGTTTGAGGGTTGCTATTTAACTCTGTTGAACTCATAAGGGTTCATATTGTATTACAAAAACTAAATCTTAGTATATATCAATCTGATCAGGTTGGTATTGCCATTCATAAGAAATAACAACCAGAGAATAGTGAGATCTAGGCATGGAAAAGCCATTGCATTGAGCCAGAAAAAAAAAAATTGAAAAATCAGATCAGTAAGAACATTGGATAATGGAAACTCAAAGAAGCTAGCGAATTTGTAGGGATGACTGCACTTGAATGTGTAATGAGCAATAGGGAATATGTTAGCCACCAATTAAATAATTTGTACTTTTGTTCCTAAATGTAATTTTAATTAAGACTGTAAAGGTATAGCCTAAAGTTGATGCAAATTTTTATAAATTCATATCAGGATCAATTTACACTAAGCAGGATAAGGTAATGGTAGCTATGACAGACAAAAACCTGTAGATGTGGAAGGTTGGCCTTGGATTTGTATTAATTCCAGATGCAGCTGTTCTTCAGGCACAAGCTGTCATTTGCAATAAGCATACGTCCATTTTCATTAGCATGCTATTTATTTCATTAGACTTTATTAATTATTCTTTATACATATAGGATATTTGTGAAAACCCCATAAAACAGAACAGCAGGTGTAGGGGAACCTTACATGTCATCAGGAAAATCATCAAAATTCTAATATTTCTGCTACTTTGAGCCCAGTTTCAAGTTACTTCTGCTCATCAAACCAACCACAATCATTTCTATTTGAATTATACATTTTCCATTCTTCTACTTATACTTAGGTCACACTACACAATGTACATGTTTATTTATACACATTCATCTGAGTTTTCTTTGATTTTATCTTAATAGTTCTTGGTCTTATTACTTTTCCTTTTATATCCATGGGGAAGTGGAATAAGAATCTTTCCTCCATAAGCCATGCGTGTTGTAAAAGTCAACTGAAATGCCGGGAACAATGGGCTAGTAACCACTTTTCCTGTAATAATTGCTAAAAAGAATAAGAAGAAGAAAATTGTCAAAGTGGGAAGTCTGAATGTGCATGGATGTTGTGCAAATGATAAGAAAGATGATTGTGGATGTTATGAATGAGAAGAAGCTGGATGTCCCAACTTGAAGTGAAACAAAGCTGAAGGGGTGGGAGAGTTTCAGTGGAGAGGAATAAATGGGATAGGTCAGGGGTTTCAAATAGAGTTAGAGCTAAAGAAGGAGTAGCAATAATGTTGAAGGATAAGTTATGGCAGGAAAAGAGGGACTACAAATGTATTAATTCAAGGATTATGTGGAGTAAAATAAAGGTTGGATGTAAAAAATGGGTTATAGTAAGTGTATATGCACCTGGAGAAGAGAGAAGTATAGAGGAGAGAGAGAGATTTTGGGAAATGTTGAGTGAGTGCGTGGGGAGTTTTGAACCAAGTGTGAGAGTAATGGTGGTTGGGGATTTCAACGCTAAAGTGGACAAAAATGTTGTGGAGGGAGTAGTAGGTAAATTTGGGGTGCCAGGGGTAAATGAAAATGGGGAGCCTTTAATTGAGCTATGTGTAGAAAGAGGGTTGTTAATAAGTAATACATATTTTATGAAGAAGAGAATAAATAAATATAAAAGGTATGATATAGCACGTAACGAAAGTAGTTTGTTAGATTATGTATTGGTGGATACAAGGTTGATGGGTAGGTTCCAGGATGTACACGTTTATAGAGGAGCAACTGATACATCGGATCATTACTTAGTTGTAGCTACAGTTAGAGTAAGAGGGAGGTGAAAGTGTATAAACTAAGGGAGGAGGAAGTTCAGGTGAGATATAAGCAACTATTGACAGAAAGGTGGGCTGGTGCAAATATTAGTGGGGAAGGGGGGTTGAAGAGGGTTGGAATAGTTTTAAAAATGCAGTATTAGAATGTGGGGCAGAAGTTTGTGGTTATAGGAGGGTGGGTGCAGGAGGAAAGATGAGTGATTGGTGGAATGATGAATTAAGGGTGCGATAAAAGAGAAAAAGTTAGCTCTTGAGAGGTTTTTACAAAGCAGAAGTGTTATAAGAAGAGTAGAGTATATGGAGAGTAAAAGAAAGGTGAAGAGAGTGGTGAGAGAGTGCAAAAGGAGAGCAGATGATAAGAGTGGGAGAGGCACTGTCAAGAAATTTTAATGAAAATAAGAAAAAATTTTGGAGTGAGTTAAACAAGTTTAGAAAGTCTAGGGAACGAATGGATTTGTCAGTTAAAAAACAGAGTAGGGGAGTTAGTAGATGGGGAGATGGAGGTTTTGGGTAGATGGCAAGAATATTTTGAGGAACTTTTAAATGTCGACGAAGAAAGGGAGGCGGTAATTTCATGCACTGGTCAGGGAGGTATACCATCTTTTTGGAGTGAAGAAGAACAGGATGTGAGTGTGGGGGAGGTGCGTGAGGCATTACGTAGAATGAAAAGGGGTAAAGCAGCTGGAACTGATGAAATCATGACAGAAATGTTAAAAGCAGGGGGGGATATAGTGTTGGAGTGGTTGGTATTTTTGTTTAATAAATGTATGAAAGGGGAAGGTACCTAGGGATTGGCAGAGAGCATGTATAGTGCCTTTATATAAAGGGAAGGGGGACAAAAGAGATTGTAAAAATTATAGAGGAATAAGTTTACTGAGTATACCAGGAAAAGTGTACGGTAGGGTTATAATTGAAAGAATTAGAGGTAAGACAGAATGTAGGATTGTGGATGAGCAGGGAGGTTTTAGAAGTGGGTAGGGGATGTGTAGATCAAGTGTTTACATTGAAGCATATATGTGAACAGTATTTAGATAAAAGTAGGGAAGTTTTTATTGCATTTATGGATTTAGAAAAGGCATATGATAAGAGTGGATAGGGGAGCAATGTGGCAGATGTTGCAAGTATATGGAATAGGTGGTAAGTTACTAAATGCTGTAAAGAGTTTTTATGAAGATAGTGAGGCACAGGTTAGGGTGTGTAGAAGAGAGGGAGACCACTTCCCGGTAAAAGTAGGTCTTAGACAGGGATGTGTAATGTCACTATGGTTGTTTAATATATTTATAGATGGGGTTGTAAAAGAAGTAAATGCTAGGGTGTCTGGGAGAGGGGTGGGATTAAATTATGGGGAATCAAATACAAAATGGGAATTGACACAGTTGCTTTTTGCTGATGATACTGTGCTTATGGGAGATTATAAAGAAAACTTGCAAAGGTTAGTGGACAAGTTTGGGAGTGTGTGTAAAGGTAGAAAGTTTAAAGTGAACATAGAAAAGAGTAAGGTGATGAGGGTATCAAATGATTTAGATAAAGAAAAATTGGATAACAAATTGGGAAAGAGGAGTATGGAAGAAAATGTTTTCAGATACTTGGAAGTTGACGTGTCGGCGGATAGATTTATGAAGGATGAGGTTAATCATAGAATTGATGAGGGAAAAAAGGTGAGTGGTGTGTTGAGGTATATGTGGAGACAAAAAACGTTATCTATGGAGCCAAAGAGGGGAATATATGAAAGTATAGTAGTACCAACACTCTGATATGGGTGTGAAGCTTGGGTTGTGAATGCAGCAGCGAGGAGGCGGTTGGAGGCAGTGGAGATGTCCTGTCTAAGGGCAATGTGTGGTGTAAATATTATGCAGAAAATTCAGAGTGTGGAAATTAATAGAAGGTGTGGAGTTAATAAAAGTATTAGTCAGAGGGCTGAAGAGAGGTTGTTGAGGTGGTTTGGTCATTTAGAGAGAATGTATCAAAGTAGAATGACATGGAGAGCGTTTAAATCTGTAGGGGAAGGAAGGCGGTGTAGAGGTCATCCTCGAAAAGGTTGGAAGGAATTTGTAAGGGAGGTTTTGTGGGCGAGGGGCTTGGACTTCCAGCAGGCGTGCGTGAGCGTGTTTGATAGTGAATGGAGACGAATGGTATTTGGGACCTGACGATCTGTTGGAGTGTGAGCAGAGTAATATTTAGTGAAGGGATTCTGGGAACCCGGTTATTTTTATATAGCCAGACTT